TGTTTCCCAGAAGTATTCTCTCTCTCTCTCTCTCTCTCTCTCTCTCTCTCTCTCTCTCTCTCTCTCTCTCTCTCTCCCTTTTTCAGTATCTTTCTCCACTATTTATGGTGCTCCCCCTCAGATGCTCAAGTCTATTAGCCCTGCTAGGCCTACATTCTTTCCTAAGCAAAATGTGCCCTGAGAAATATCTCTCTGTAACTTCTACCCATTGGCTCCCACTAAGGCTCTTCCAAGTGAAAAATCTCCATTTCTGTCGATAGAAAATTTTGTTGTTGTCGTTGAGTCATTTTTCAGTTGTGTCTGACTCTTTGTGACCTCATTTGGGGTTTTCCTGGCAAAGATACTGGAGTAGTTTGTCATTTTCTTCTAATACCACATAGTTAAATTATTTCTTAATTGATTTTCCTCTGTCATGTTTGCTTGAAAAAGGCTTTAAGGTTTGCAAAGCATTTACATTTATTATTACATTTGATTGGTAGCTAAGTGGCACCAGCAATGGAGGGCTGGTCTTGGAGTCAGGAGGACTTGACTTTGACACATATTAATTAGCTGTGTCCTCTCCTCTGCTATTGCCATCCCTCGGAGATGACTTCCCATTTACCCTCTACATATCTAGTATAGACATGGTTGTTTACATGTTGTCTCCTTCATTAGACTGTGATATCCTTGATGGCAGGGACCATGTTTTTGCCTTTCTTTGTATCCTTCCATCTCTTAGCTCAATGCCTTGTACATAGTGGTTGTGGTTGTGGTCCTTCATTCTTGAAGAGGACCAAAATGACATCACTACACTGGGGTCAAGGTATAGTGCGTCCAGTTGTGGTTGATCAGACCAAGAAGAATTCAGAAGGCTCTACCACAGGTCGGGAACAATGAAAATGAAAATGAAAACTTATAGATTGATTGGGTGAGTGATGCCTCATCATGGCATAGAAGCGATCTGGGGTTCTCAAAGGCTAGACCAGCAGAGCAGAAGCTCTGGCAGATCCTACCAAACTGGAAACTCTTTGACTAATGAGCTGTCATCCTGCAACCAGCCTGAATGAAGGAAAGAAGAAATGAAGTGCTAAGCTTTGTAGTGCTAAACAGACACTTCATACCATGGGAAATTTTGGGTCTAATACCTCCTTCTCCAGTTTCCCTCTGTGAAGGATGACGATACCAGATGGAAGCATGATGGCAGACCCTTCTGAGAATGCCTTCATTAGAAAGGATTCATTAGAAAATGAATCATTTTACGGTTCGTAGTTCAATGGCCTCTTTGTCCATCCTACCCCATGCCCCATTTTATATGCCTATTTCTTCCTAGGTCCATAGTCAATTATGCAGAACTGCTGCTTTCTGGTGGAGATTCAGAATAAGAGAAACCAGTGGCTCAATAGGTTCAAAAACATGTAGCATTTGGAGAAGATAATGGCATATAGATCACATAACCAAATATAGAAATTGTACCCCTGCTTGAAGAATGTGAATTATATTTTCCATGTGTGTTGAGACGTCCCTGTGATACAAGAAACCTACAATTCTAAATGGAAGTGCCCTTTCTTCCTGCCTCACTCCCTACCTTCTTCCCCACAAAAGTCAGCTAGTGCCACTTAAATTCTAGAAGAAAAGCTTGTTAAGGTAAAACCCAAAAGGCCACAATCCCATCTGCAAAAAGTTTTTTTTTTGGTAGCTTCCTAAGTCAAATGAAGTGTTAGCCGCTGCTAACCATTTCTTCCAGGCAGAGACTTTCTTGTAAAACTCAACCAAACTACTTAGGGGAATCACAGAGCATTCAGTTATCAAATCACCGCATATTACATACTGCTGAAAACCAGGAGGGCAAACTCATGTGGCCCCTCTGTTCTTCAACAAAGGGAAACTGTCTGAAAGCCCCACTGAATATGAAGAGAGGAAGCTCCACAAAGCCTGACCTGCCACCAGAAATCATTGGAGAGGCCATGGCCATGAAGGCCCTCATTGAACTCAGCCTTTGCGAAGAGAACCATTGGAAACAGTTTATTAAAATACAACAGTCCCTAGTGTGGTATGTGTTCTGCCTGTTTATTTTACCATTTATATGGGCCTATAATTGAGCTGAAGGAGAATTCCCATTTCAGCTTCCAAGAAAATGTACAGTCAATTCCATTATCTGGATTTAATGTGTATGTGCATTTTTTTTTAAAAGTCAGGAGCCAGCAATAAAGATTCATTGTGTATGTGTGTGTGTGTGTGTGTGTGTGTGTGTGTAAATGTACACACATAGACACAAACCCATGAATTTGGTTGTTCAAATAAGTTAGCAAATATAATTAGCAGGTTGGGTGGCCATGAGAGAAAATGATTCTCTGAAGTTTGATTTGTTCCCCTTCACCAATAATGTTTCCTGCTTGTCATGGCTATGGTCTGGGGTTTTGCCAATGCCCACATGACAAACTGTTCCCTTTTCCCATATGCTGGAGATTTTCCTCTTTTCAGGATTACTTTCACCTATTATTCACCCTTACCTCTTACCTTTCCTCTTTGTCCAGCATACCCCATGCCCCAGCTTCCATTTTCTATGCTTGTCTTTTCCTAGGTCATTCAGTCAGCTATGCAGAAATCTTTCCTAGAATGCTGCTTTCTGGTGGAAGTTCAGCATAAGAGAAACAAATGGCTTGATATGTTCAATGAGAACTTTTCAGGCCTCTGTAGTATAGTAGAAAGAACACTGGTTCAGGAGTCAAGAGATCTAGGTTCTAATTCTGCTCCTGGTTCCACCACCAGTTAGTTTACTGTGTGATCTTAGACAAGTCAGTTCAAGTACATGGGCCTTGGAGTGGTCTTTTATAAATGGGGGTTAAGGTGGAGGGTGGGGTGTCAGTCAACAAGAATTGATTAAAAATCCACCATGTGCCAAGTATTGTGCTGGGGGCTGGGGAATATAATGACAAAAGTGCAATACTCCCGGTCCTCCAGGAACTTACATGCATATATCTGGTGAAGTACAAAGCACATGTGGACCAGACACAGTCTACCAGTAGTTGGAGGCTGTTGATGGTTGCTGGCCAGCAGAGCTATTTATCCCTTCTTGATTGGCCCACATGCTTTAAAGTGTTGGAAAATTTGGACTTCTCATCAGCATCCTAGCAGTGTCCCTAGGACAGAGGTGACTGGTAGCAATGTCTGCATCAGGCATCAAAGACAGACTAGATGCATTGAGAAAAGGCAGTTTCAGAACTCTACAAGTCCCGCAGAAAGCTTCCCCATACCTATAGGCAGCTGAGTGGTACAGTGGATAGAGTAACAGGCCTGGAAGACCTGAGTTCAAATCCAGCCTCAGACACTTATTAGCTGTGTGACCCTGGGCAAGTCACTTAACCCTCTTTGCCTCAGTTTTGTCATCTGTAAAATGAGATAGAGAAGGAAATGGCAAACTGCTCCAGTATCTTTACCAAGAAAACCCCAAAGAGGGTCACAAAGAGTGAGATACAACTGAACAACAATAATTTCTGGGGAACTTCATAAGTAGACAATTCACAGTTCCTGGAACTGAGGAATGCCCTATGAAGTGGGGAAAAAGGACTTCCAGGAACTGTGAATGATCTACTTCTGCTGTATGTGCTCTAAGTATGAGCCCACTTTCCCCTGGCCTCTGAATGTACTTGCTGGAGGAGTATGTCTCAGACTTTTAGAAGAAATTTTATATCAACTATTCTTACAATAACACCTTAGTAAACACTGGTTTCTAGGAGTTAATTACATCTGGCTGGATAATTGATATCAACTGATTATCACTGGCAGAATTACACTAGATGGGGCTTGTTAGTTTTACTATTAGAAAGGCCTTCACCCCCCTCCAAGGGTTACCCCTAGAACCCTGAGGGTAGAAGCAGGCACCTTTGGGGGCCTGACAGAGCCTACAGTACACGTATCACATATAAATTTGCCTCTTTGAAACTACTCCTGCTACCTAGGTGTCTTTCTTACTGAAGTCTAGGATTGTTTTCATAGAAAAAAAATGAGACCCCCCAAAAAGGAAGTGATTTGCCCAAGGTCACACTGCTAGTCATGGCTAGTGTCTGCGCTAGTTCTTCTTGACTCCAAATCCACCAATTTTTCACTATATATGATCAGTGCCACACAAGCAATATTTTAAAAGATTTTTTTTGCATGTATTTGCTTGAAAAACACATGACTTTAATGCTTTGTCATCTACTTTAACTCTGGAGAGAGACAGAAAAAGAGAGAAAGGAGAGGGAGAGAGGAGGAGGAGAAGAAGAAGGAGAAGAAGGAGGAAGAAGAAGAGAAGGAGAAAGATTTTGATCTGAACCCTAGTTCAGGAACTGCCTCCATTAATGCATCTTGCTAACTCCTCTGTAACTTAATCTTAGAGATTTGCAGGGGTCACTAGTGACTTGACTATAGTTAGGCAGCTAGTATTGTTCGAAACAGGACTTGAACCCAGGTCTTCCTTATTCCAAGGCTGACCCTTAATCTACTCTGCCAAAACAGATACCTCTTTCATTGCATAAACATAAGAAAGAAAAGGTTTAGTAACCATTAAGACCTTTATCTGGGCTAGAATTTGCCAGCGCTGAGTTACTGTGGTACACTCTACATGGGGTAGACCCATTAAACACGAAGAGCCTTTCAGCTCCCAAGAATGCTCTGCCATGATGCCTTTTTTTTAGGAAAAAGTAGCCAAGGTATGCTGGTAAATGTTTAACAACAGTCTCTCGGTGGGGGTGGGGAATGTATGTCTGTATGAATATATATATGTATACACACACAAACACTTTTTTTCTCCACTACTTTTTAAAGTGTAGATAATCAACAAAACAATTAATCAAGTCCTGATTTATAGTTTGCTGATTTCTGAGGTCTTAATGCTCACATTGAAAATTTAACAGTCAGCTCTTCTGAGCCATTATGAGCTGGCTCCAGTATACTGCTGTTTAAAGCTCTTGTTCATGCTCACTAATATTCCATTTACCTTTTCTTAATCTCCCATTATTCATTTCTTTTTCTCCTCCAAGGGCAATGTTTACATGTACTATAAACTGCACAACTTCTATCAGAACTATCGCCGATACATTATTTCCAGAAATAATCGCCAGCTTTTGGGAGAAGATAATACGGTAAAAATCATTAACTTAACTCTCAGGTGCTTTTATTCTGTTGGTCTTTAAATCTGAGGAAGCAGAAGGAAATTCTGTGGTTACTTAGAGATGGTTATTTCCATGAGAACAGATCATAATAGGACCATAGATTTAGAGATTATTGACTCTCTTCCCCCTCTTTTTGCAGATGAAGAAACTGAGGCCTAGAGAGTTTAAGAAACTTCCAGAAGGTCACTCAGCTAGAAAGCATCTAAGGTGGAATTTGAATCTAGGTTTTCCTGACTCTGAGTCCAACAGCTAATTGGCCAGACTATGACACAACAGCTAAGATGTAAAGATGTAGCCACATGGGCAGTAAGTTGAGTGCATGGGGCAGCTAGGAGTCATAGTGGATAGAGCACTGGTCCTGGAGTCAGGAGGACCTGAGTTCAAATCCAGCCTCAGACACTTACTAGTGTATGACCCTGGGCAAGTCAGTTAACCCTGAGAAAGGAAGGAAGGAAGGAAGGAAGGAAAGAAGAAAGAAAGAAAGAAAGAAAGAAAGAAAGAAAGAAAGAAAGAAAGAAAGAAAGAAAGAAAGAAAGAAAGAAAGAAAGAAAGAAAGAAAGAAAGAAAGAAAGAAGGGAGGAAGGGAGGGAGGGAAGGAAGGAAGAAAGAAAGAAAGTTAGTTGAGTGCAGCAAATTGAGGCAACATTTGTGGAGGAGCTCAGGCTCCTGATATAATCTTGGTATTATACTCTACAGCCTAACCCTGAATGATACGTCCATTCACTCTTACCTCCATACTCTTAATCTACTGTCTCTGCTTCCCATATAAGCAGAGCTTTCCCTGTCTCTCCCTTAAAATCATCCTGTATCCCTTGTTACTATTTTTGACTTGTTGCCTATTATTTTAGCACCACCCCCTCCCACACCCAGGGAAAATTTCTAGCTCTGTCCATTCCTTGCTCCCCACCTATGGAGGCTTCAACTTTGGATGAGAACAGATGACTCATAGAAGATGTTGGAGACAATATTAAAAGGCAGCTGAACTCAGATGAAATACAATGGCCAATCTTGTATCTGGAGAAGAGATGTTGAGTATTCCTCCTAGAAGAGGGGTGGGAGGCAATGGGGGTAGATTTTTGCACATACTGTCCAACGTAGGGTACTTTGCCAGTTTTGCCTGACCGTGTTTTTTCTTTGCTCAATGGGCATGATAGATTGGGAAATGACTATGTAAATGTATGTAAAAAACAAAAGACACCAACAAAACATTTTTAAAAGATAGTAAGGAGGACAAGGAGCTATCTGGAGGACCTATCTAGTGATAACCCCAGCATCATTAATCTCTGGGGAGTCAGAATCTAGACTTGAAATATCCCTAAGAGTTTCCAATTGGCGGCAGCTAGGTGGCACAGTGCATAGAGCACTGGCCCTGGATTCAGGAGGACCTGAGTTCAAATGTGACCTCAGACACATAACACTTACTAGATGTGTGACCCTGGGCAAGTCACTTAACCCCATTGCCTAGCCCCCCCCAAAAATTTTTTTTAAAGTTTTCAATTGGATAGCTTCCTCTACCTAGTAGAGGAGTTAGACATATTGATTGGTTGTGATAGGAAGTGATTTGTTGATCAGGATTTCCCTGAGAGGCTGTAATCAAATCAAGTTCCATTCATCACTACTCCCTTCTCCTCCAAATGATATCAGATACTCTGTCCTCTGAATTCTCAGTGCCAAGGTACTTGGTATAAATGAGATTTTATTTAAAATCAGCAAGTCAAGAAATCAGATAGCCTTCTAGAGTTGGGTGGGTAAGATGAATGGATAAAGGAAATGTTCACCTTAGACTTTAGTCCCATTGTCCTTTGTCAGACCACATCTAGCCTACTGTGCTGAATTGTGGGCACCCCATTTTAGGAAGAATTCTGGCTCTCTGTGAACCCCATTTGGGGTTTTCTTGGCAAAGATACTAGAGTGGTTTGCCATTGCCTTCTCCAGCTCATTTGACAGATGAGGAAACTCAGGCAGACATGGTGAAGTGCTTTGCCCAGGGTCACACAGCTAGTAAACATCTGAAGCCAGATTTGAACTCAGGAAGATGAGTCTTCCTGATTCCAGGCCCAGCATTCTGTGCACTGTGGCACCACCTATCTGTCCTCCAGGGAACATATTGGAAACTAAAGGAATATATTAGATAAAGAGTCAGCTCCTGAGCCAGGAAGACCTGGGATCATTCAAGGTCTGCCTCTGACACACTGCCACGTTGTGATCTCTGGCAAGTCACGATCACCTCCTGATAGCTCAGGCAATTATCTAAGACTATACAGTGAAGAAAAGTTGCTAATTTGCATTTGCAAAGAGAGTTTTTCCATTGAGAGCTCCTGACACCAGTGAAATCACAGGTCCAGAAAAACAGCAATGACCAAAGGACAAGCTGGAGTGGGTTCAGAGGCACATGACGAGGTTGATGAGGAGACTCAAAACAATGCCACAGAAGGATTGGTTGAAGGAAGGGGAACTGTTTAGAAAAGAGAAAAGTGAGTGGGAGTCTTGTAATCTGCAGGAACCTGAAGGACTGTCATGGAGAAGATCACACGTGCTCTGCTTGGTTCCAGGTGGCAGGAGCAATGGATAGAAATTGCAAAGATAGATTTCGCAGAAGTTTCACATGAGGTCTTCCTTAAAGCTTCCCTCTGAGATCATCTCCAGTCTATCTGTTATATGTCTTGTTTGCATCTCATTGTTTGCATGCTGTTGCCCTTCTTTATATCCCCAAAGCTTAGACAGAGCCTTGAACATAGTAGGCACTTAATGATTCTTGACTTGACTTGATTTGACTTGATCTGACAAGATTGAGAATGATGAGAGCTGTCCAAAAGTGTGAGGTAATCCCTCAAGATTTGTTGGGTTTCCTGTCACTGGAGGTCTTCATTTAGAAGTTGGATGACTATTTATGAGAAATATGGTAGAAGGAATTCCTACTGAGGTAAGGGTAAGACTAGAAAATTTCTGGAGTCCCTTCCAATTCTACATCTGGGCAATGGAACTCTCTCTGTTCTAGAACATGGCAGATCCTAGCCCCAGTGTGGGCCTGGCAAGAATAATACAGAAAGTAAAGCCTTCTGGCTTTCTGGCTATCCACTGGCTAGGATTGTCCTAAAGAAAAATTGCTATTTTCATTTTTTGAGAATCTGTGGGTTGGGGCTGAATGAACTATGGATGGTTGGCCATGCAGTATGGAAAGTTTTCCTCCTTTGGAACAGTGGTGTGAACCTAGTCCAACTCTTTGGGTATGAACAATTGTACCTTCCTTCATGAACATCACAGGGCTTAGCGAATGAAAGGAGTGGTGGGTATCATTTCTGTTCATCAGATCTACCTCCTTATAATTCGACCCCTCAATGAAGCTTTAGAACTTCCTGACTTATATAAAGAAACCAATCTCCACTTCACTGCTAACATTAGCTCTGGAAAAATACATTTTTCTAAGAAGGCAGTCTTTTCAGACCTGGAGTAGAAAACTTCATAAGGCTTAAGCAATTTTGTCTGGCAACATGTGAATTGCTACATAAGGAAAACCTTTTTACATATTTTTTATATAGTCATATGAAAATGACCACCATTTTGTAGCATGTTTTTGGCACATTTTGCATTAATTGTCCCTCTCACTTTCTGCAAATGTACATCCTTCTTACAAAACATAAATTGTGGAACATTCCTTATAAACACTGAATAAGAAACTTTAGAAAAAACATCACCTTCCTTGCTCTCTGTTCTGCTAATTTTCCCTCTTCCAACAACCCAAGTAATCAGACAAAAGGCATTCCTCATTTTTGTGTCATCTTGAATTTAGGATGTTGAGAACTGTGCTCCATTCCAGAGGGCTTCCAATGATAGGCCCATTGCTCCTTGTGGCGCCATTGCCAACAGCATGTTCAATGGTAGGTGTCTTCTGTCGTCCTTTGGGTTTATCCACTTCAGTGGATCCAATCAGTTAAAATGTCCAGATCACTACCTCTGCAGCCAAATTTCACTTTTTAAAATCTACATCTCCAGAATACATTCTGCCTCACTTGGCATGCCATCCTGTGCATAGTAATGAATAGTTGTTGAATTGACTTTATTTGAATTCCTACCCTGGACACTGGATTATAGTACTCAGGTCGCATATAAGTAGACATAGACATAAAATGAAAGTTGGAAGAGGCCTTACAGATCATCTGACTTAACCACCCTTACAAATGAGTGCCCAGATTTAGATTTCTTCCTACAATACCCCCCTGCTTCCAAAGATTCATAAAGAGGAGTCGCTGAAGTTGAACCAAGCACAATTGGAGTATTCACTGGAAGAATAATCAGTCCTGATTGCTTTTGATAGTCATATGAGTATTAAAATCTTACTAAACTTTGCTCTTTTCCCAATTCAGTCAAACTTAGAAAAGAATGATTAAGAACCAATTATCTAGCTTGTGACCCTGAGCAAGTCACTTAACCCTGATTGCCTCACCCCCAAAAAAACCCCAACAAGAACCAATTATATAAAAGGCACTGTGTATACAAAGAGAGATAGAACACAGACCAAGGAGTAATTGGAGTGGGGAGACTGGTCTGCCAATGACTATTAAACAAGGAGGAGTAAGATACATGCTAAGGAGAGGTTTAAGCAAAATACTGTGAGAAATCTCTGTCACCTTAAGGAGATCATAGGGTTAGGGAAAGATTCATGAAAGAGAATGTGAGTTAGGCATTGAAGGAAGGAAGGTACATCAACAGAGAGGGAATCATAATGATCTGAACATAAAAAAAGTTTAATAAGCATCTATTTAAATAGATTGTTTAATTGGGGGCTGGAAGAGGGGAAGGGGAGGAAAGGAGAATCTATGATGGGTCTGGGTGACAATATGAACCAAAATAAGAGGACTGGAGAGGGAACAACAAAAAAGGACGTTGGACGGGGGTCCAGTGAGTCTGGCACATAAAATAGTGATTAGGAGCTGGTTAGTAGATTTTTGTGTCACTTCTGGTTTTAGAAAGTAATAGGAATTTTGTACCAATACCAACCACCCATAATAGTTATAGGATGTACACAAAAGGGAAAAAAAAAGTAATTGAGTAATTATCAGTAGTAGGGCTAGATAATGGACTTTTAGCTAGGGGTTGGCCATCTCCAAGTGCAGCTATACATGCCAAAAGCCTCGCTATGTGTATGTTACAGTACCAGAGAATTTACCACTGCATGTGATGAAGTTTCTTTGGATTTACCTACAGACACTATTCTTCTGTCATACTACCCTAACTCATCTACAGGAATCAACGTCCCACTACTCAGCAGTGAGATTACGTGGTGGACCGATAAGCATGTCAAGTTTCAGAATCCCAAGTCCAGTAACCTTTCCAGTGCATTTGCAGGTAAGGCCCATTAACACTGGCGTTGTCATTTTATCTCACTTAAAAAGGGTAGTTGGGGGAAAACGTTCAGTCCTACTATACATGGCAATGAACAGTGTATGGTAGGAGCATGACTAGCAGCCTGTCACCATAAAGCAATATTTTAGGTAGGAAAGTAAGTAGGATAAACCACCATCTTTCAGATGCCTACTGTCCCCTTTTGTAGGATATTTTCTTCATAAATTCTGCACTGATTCTTCAGCTTGGGGATGGCTGGAATTCTTCATTCTTTCCTTCCACCTAGCCCTGCCCTTTGGATTTGTTATTCTGGTGAACTCCAGCTTGACCTGGCATGGCCTCTCTCTGGTTCACCCTTTATGATCATGACCTTTCCCCAGTTTTATTCTTACCTTTAGGTCACCATAGTCCAGGCCTCTACTGAACTCTTACATAGCTTCCTCACTGGTCTCCCTTCATTCAGTCTCTTCCATCCCATATCCATCTTCAATCTCTAATCCATCTTCCACACAGCCACCTGATTAAAAGCCCAAAAGTATAGTTCTGACCACGTCACTCCCCTGTTTATTGGCGCCCCATGTCCTTAGAATAAAATATAAATAAATATATTGTTTCATATTTAGCATCCTTCCCATTGAGACATTAAGCAAAAATGGCTTGTTATTTTCTCTCTAATTAGTCTCCTAGTTCCTACAGGGAACTCTGTAGTTTTCCTGGATGGGCTGTGATGCACAGCAGAGAAAACCAGTAGTTAACATGGCTGCTTATTGTCTTTGAAATACAGCATAGACAAACCTGGTCCTCAGAGGAAGTCGCTATTTTTCCTGTCCCCAGGATAGGAGGTTCTGGGGTACCCTGGGAAGACTATGGGGAAGAATGTTAAAGCAGTGGCAGCAAAAAGTCTGATCATTTCACCCACAGCAATGAGGATTCCCAAATCAAACCACTGTGGGGCAGAGAAGGATGCTGTATCAACCAAGTGAAGGTGGAGAAACATCCTTGTTTCCTTCCACGAAGGAAACCTCTCTAATTAAGAAGAAGAGTTTCAGGAGTGGAAGTGGAAACATACAAAAACATGAGGAAGGTTAATCCAATTAGACTGAGCACATTTTTTTGTTAGCGCCAAATGTCCCATACTTGGAAAGAAAAGTTGGGTTTCTCTGGAGGAGAGAATGGTCCCATGTGCAAACCATGCGACTGAAAACTTCCCTCCTACTCGCATTAAGACTTATATATCCTGAATGTCATAGAGCAGGCTTTACAAGAATGGAAAGTCTGTTAAGTTATCGTTACTTAATAAAAACTGATTGGGAAAACTGGATAGCAGAATGACCAAAAAATAGATTGAGATCCAGCCAATTTTCCCATCCGTTTTTATTGAATAATGATGAAATTTCCCAATGTTTTAGTGTGATTTTTATCAAATACAAATCTCTTGTGTGTTTCAGGTTCTATTTCTGTATTCTATACTTTATTCCATCAATTTATTTCTCTATTTTCCCCCTAGTGCCCAAAAGCTTTTGCAATTATTGCCTTATAATACATTTAAAATACACTGGGCCCAACTTCCCTTCAGCTGTTCTTTTTCGTAACTATTCTGGATATTTTTGCCTGAGTACTTTTCCACATGAATTTTGTTAGGATTTAATTCTATTGAGTAACCTTCTGGTATTTTTATTGGAATTGCACTAAATATATGAATTAATGTAGAGAATCTTGTTTTCATTATGAGGCAGCAGGGTGGCTCAGTGGATAGAACCCTGGGCCTGGAGTCAAGGAAATTTGAGTTCAAATCCAGCCTCAAGCACTTATTAGCTATGTAATCCTGCACAAGTCACTTAACCTTTGTTGCCTTAATGCACTGGAGAAGGAAATAGTGAACCACTCTGGTATCTTTGCCAAGAAAACCCCACAGACAGTATTGATGTGCTATGGTCCCTGGGGTCATGAAGAGTTGGACATAACTGAACAACAACAACAAATTTTCATGATGCTAGTTCCACCTAATCACATACAAAAGAATATCCCTCCATTTGTTCAGTTCTTGATCTCTGTCAAAATAATTTTACAATTATGTTAACATATACTTCTTGTATATCTAGATAGACTAATGTCCTAATGTTTGATATATTTTTGTTGTTATTGTCAATGACATTATAAGTTTCTCTTGATTTTTCTTGGTGATGTATAAAAATGATTTTCTCATTTTGAATTTTATGAACATAGGTTCTCTTCTATTTTTAATTGGAGTTGCTCATTGACCATCAATTTTATTGGTGTTTTCAAATGATCAACTTTTAGTTTTATTTATCATTTTGATTGTTTTCTTCTTTTCCTTTATTTTAATCTGAACTCTTATTTTGGCTAATTCTCTCTTTTTCTGTTGGTGTATTGCTTTTCCTCCTTTTCTACATTTTCAAAATGCAGACTTCATTGGTTTTCTATTTTGCTTTCTTTTTGATATAGGTATTCAGATCAATACATTTGTCCCTGCCTTGGCTGCATCCTACAGATTTTATATGAAATATATATATTATTATTGTCTTTGATATGATCTATTATTTTCCATTTTTTTCACCTATGGATTGTTCAATAAATAGTCTTTTAGCATTAGCTTGGATTTACATATTTTGTTCCTAGTATTTACTACTAGCTTCATTGTATTATTAGTCAGGAATGTGGTGCAGAGGATTTCTCTTCTTCTATATATATATTCATACCTTCTTTGCAATCCAGACAGTGGTGTGCTGATAAATGTTTTTACAACCAGCTCTCTGAGGAAAAAAAAAAGTCCACCCAACACACTTTTAAGTTTGATCTACATGAACATTTTCTCCATCACTTTCTTAAGTCTAGATAATCCACAAAACAATAAATCAAGCCCTGATTTGTAGTGTTTGCCTATTTCTGAGGAGTAAATACTCACACTAAAAATTTAACAATCAACTCTCAAGAGCCAGTTCAAGCCGGCTCCAGCCCACCCCTGAAGCCAGATCAACCTTTGTGCATGTTGCATATATGTTTTTGGAAAATGTGAATCTTTTTACTTGATTTATCATTATCACAGTGGAGCACTAAAATTCTCCATGATTATTAATTTTATAACCTATTTCCTTTTGTAGAGGACAGATAGCTAACATTTTGGCTGCCAGAATCCCAATCCAAAAAGATCTCAACAGATTAGGATGATGGAATACATTGAATAAGATATTATTTAATAAAGATGAATTCCAAATTCCCCTCTTGGACCCTAAACCCTGGTCTGAATAGTCATACGCTCAGATTCAATGTTCACTCATTCAGTAAGTATTCATTAAATTTAGAGTGGGCAGCTAGGGGGCACAATGGATAGAGCACTGGGCCTGAAATCAGGAAGACCTGAGTTCAAATCTGGCCTGAGACGTTCGCTAGCTGTGTGAACTTGGACAGATCACTTCCCCACTCACCTCAGTTTCCTCATCCGTATAATGAGCTGGGGAAGGAAATGGCAAACCACGCCAGTATCTTTGCCAAGAAAACCCCAAACGAGGTCATGAAGAGTCAGACACAACAGAAATGGCCCAACAACAAGAACGCATTCTTCACCTTTATATACTCTACAACCCAGTCCAGCTGACCTCTCGCTGTTCCTCATACACGTCTCATTTCCCATTTCCTTGTCTTTGCCCTGGCTGTGCCTGATACTTGGCGTGCACTCCCTCCTCGTTTCTGTCTCTTATAATCTCTAATTTCCTTCCAAGTCTACCACAAGTACCACCTTCCACATGAAGCCTTAGTGGATTCCTCCCAGCTGCTAGATCTCTCCCCTACGCATAAGTTCCCTGGTATTTATTTTTACTGTCCTCTTCTATGTCCTTTTGTCTCCCCCAATAGAACGTGAACTCCTTCAGGGCAGCGACTGTTTCGTTGTCTCTGCAGTGCCTAGTACAGGACCTAGAACACAAGCAAGGGCGGAATAAATGCATGTTGATTGATTATATTAACTTTTGTCTCTCCCCACCAGCAAACACAGTGCTCTGCTCACATAGGTACAGTAGAAGCTTTTTTTTTTTAAGAGATTTTATCTCCCTAACTTGCCCAGACTGGAAGTACAGTGGGCAAAGCCCAGTCGTGGCCCAGTCCTGAAAGCTTCAATGTGCTCTGTTTTACTGACCTGGATCAACTCACACCTCCCTGGGCAGCCCAGTGGCCTTCCACTCTCAGAGCCTCGCCATAGTCAAAATAATAATAATAACATTTACATAGCACTTACTGTGTGCCAGGCTCTTTACTGTTATTATCTCATTTGATCTTCCCAGCAACCTTGTGGGATAGGTGCTGTTGTTATCCCTATTTTACAGGTGAGGAAACTGAGGTCACACAGCCAGTAAGTGTCTGAGCTCAGATTTGAAGTCAAGTCTTCCTGACTGTAGGACCTGTATTTTATCTACTGTGTCACCTGGCAGCCTGTCTCCACTGAATCCCTTGGGTTCTTTCCACAGGAACTGCCAAGCCTCCTTACTGGAGGAAGCCTGTCTATCAGTTGGACCAAGAGAATCCAGAAAACAATGGTTTTCTCAACAATGACTTCATTGTCTGGATGCGGGTAGCAGCCCTTCCCACTTTCAAAAAGCTCTACAGGCGCATCCACAGAATCCAGCAGTTTGCCGATGGCCTCCCTGCCGGGAATTACAGCCTCGACATATCCTACAGTATCCTTTCTCCAGCTACTCCATTCAGAGGATGAGGGGAAAGCCTTTTAAAGGCATACTATCTAATTTTTAGGGGCGGCTAGAGGGCACAAAGGATGGAACACTGGGCATGGAGAAGGGAAGACTCATCTTCTTGAGTTCAAATCCAGCCTCTGACACTTGCTAATGGTATGACCCTGGGCGAGGTACTTAACCTTATTTGCCTCAGTTTCCTCACCTGTAAAATGATCTGGAGAAGGAAATGGCAAACTACTCCAGTATCTTTGCCAAGAAGACCCCAAATGGGGTCCTGAAAAGTCAGATAGGACTGAAAATGACTCAACAACAAATCTAATCTTTCTCTCTTTGAATGTCTAGTACAATGTGATGCACAGTATGGCGGTAGTGAAAAAAAATTTAATGAGATTTAATTTGTCCAAATTAAGTCAGTGGTTTAGGTACTGTTTAATGTTTTGGCTTCACAAAAATAGGGGGAGAAATGAGACAAACCTGTAACTCATCATTTAAGCGACCTGCTGTTGACCCCACTACATAGTTGTTTGGAAGATGCAAATTATTCTCCTCTCCCAACTCCCCCTACCTCACCCATGTAGTAGAATGTGCAGCAACTTCTATCTGTATTGCAGTGTTTTGGTACTTCAGAAGATCATAGCTTTAGAACAGAAAGGAACCTTAGAGGTCATCTAGCCTTACCCTACCCTCTAATTTTACAGATGAAGAAAGTGACAGAAATGTTACCCTGGTCAAGATAACACAGATAGTAAGTAACGAAGTCAAGATTGGAACTCAGGTCCAGTAACTCCATATTTGGTCTTCCATGTTCAGTGCTCTCTCCACTGCCCCACACTGCCTTTCCTAGGATCCATGATCTCATTGATGGGAATATTCCCTCCAGAGATATAGGTCATAATTCAGAGGTGAAAAGAATCTCAGAGTGCAGCTAGTTGTTAAAAGTAGAATTCTCTGCTCAGGCTTTCACCCTAATGAATGAGGCAAAACAGAATAAAGAGAATTAAAAGGAGTTTATTAAAAGTACATCAAGGTAGCAACACATCGATTGGCTGATATTGGAGATCAGCAGAGGATTCAAGATGGAACCAGTTTTTATTGATAACTTTTGTAATGAGATAAAGACAATTCAGATAGGTCCACATCAGTAGAAGAGAATGGGCCAATTCATCTCAGTTCCTCCTCAATAGTCTATGCATGATGTTTATCAGGTAGGGGTACAAACCACAGGTGGTTAGTTATCTGAAGAATAGCAAGGGATGCCTCCCCTAACAGAGCTTCCCCCAACAAGGATTCACAAGCAAGTCACTGAAAACAGTGGGTCACTGAGTCAGAATAACTTTCAGTATTGTAGAGCCCATATTAGAATAGGATTCCCCTACAACATTCCCTAAATCACAACTCTTCTCAGAAAGGAGGAAAGGAATAAACATTTATATGGTACCTACTATATACCAGGCGCTGTGCTGAGCACTTTATAAATATTATCTCATTTGCTCTTCAAAACAACCTTGGGAAATAGGTGCTATTATTATTCTCATTTTACAGTTGAGGAAACTGAAGCAAATGGAGATTTTTTTTTAAAGTGACTTGCCCAGGGTCACTCAGCTAGTAAGTATCTGAGGCTGGATTTGAACTCAAGTCTTCCTGACTCCAGGCCCATTGTACCACCTCGAGGTAATGACAGAGCCTAGGCAGTAAGTAGAAAGATCCCTAGATCCCTAGACAGTCTGAAGACTCTGCCACCTTGCAATGATGGGCAAGTCTGTTCACCTGTCTGGGCTTCCATCTCCCCTTCTATGACATGGGGATGAGAGGCAGCGTGGCTTAATGGATAGAGAACTGGCCTTGGGGACAGGAAGACCTGAGTTCAAGTCCTGGCCAAATCAATCTCTCACTGTTCCAGACAACTGTAGCTTTCCACACCAATGAAATCACATTAGTGACCAGTGGTTTAAAAAGAAAAATGGTGGCACTACCACCTACTTTTCAGCTTTGCTGAAGATGAGAGTCGTAGGTTGGTTTTTTGGGGGGGTTTCCATCTCCCTGGGGAAGTTGGAGACTGAGAAACACCCTATTACTACTCAGAGGAAAAGACATTCAACCTTTGAAAAGACCCTCATATCGCCATGCAAAGGCAAGCTGGAATTGGACAGCCTCCAGCAATGGCAGGAAAAAGGCTGCTGATGGGTAGAGGTGAGGCCCGAGGCTCCAGGGGTCAGGAGAATGCTGATCTAAAAGGAAAATGGGACTAGTTTCCCATCAAGCTTCCTGGTGCCTGAAATACCAGCTGCCAAGGGATTTGAGGCCTTTCAGGGCCTTGCTGGGAAATGCCTCTCTTCTGTTCCGTTGCTAAGAGATGCCATTGCTTGTTTATTATTTTGGTTTACAAAAGGCACCAGCTGTATAAAAACCTCAGGCCACATGTATAATCACAGTGATGTCATTGAATGCTAATGAGAGCAGACAGGACTTCAAACACTTTCTCCTCTGGGGAATTCTGGACTTTTAAAAACCTGAATCGAAGGAGCCCAAGTTCCCATGTTCCCACCAAAAAATGTTTTGCCATTCAATTCTTTTTTCTTTACTCCCTGGTGGATGACAGTACCAGGGGGTTCACTTCAGTCTAAGGGGATTCTTGTCAGCAGAGGGAAGTCACCTAGCCACCAGCTCCCAATTCATAAAACAAAAGGTGAATCCAAGCCTAAGGGCTATAGGGGTCACTTCGCTTTCCTTTGGTTTGGTTTGAAGAGAAAGAGAGAGAGAGAGAGAGAATCTCTCCTCACATAAATAAAGCTAATGGTTTATTTATATGATAAATAGAGCCTGCTAGCTTAGTTCATTGAGAGTTGGCCTCACTCTTAGAAGAGCTGAGTTCAAGTCACACGTCTGACACCACTGGCTATATTACCCTGGGCAAGTCATCTACTCCAGCTCTCTAAGATTGTGGGCAGCCAGGTGGTATAATGGATAAAGTTCCGGGCCTGGAGTTCAAAATCTGGCCTCAGATTCTTACTAGCTGTTTGACCCGATGCAAGTCACTTTATCCTGTTTGCCTCAGTTTCCTCATTTGTAAAATGAGCTGGAGAAGGAAATGGCAAACCACTCCAGTATCTTTGCCAAGAATACCCCAGATGGGGTCACAAAGAGTCAGACACAACTGAAAAACAACTTAGCAACTCAGATTATAAAGTGAAGAAAAGGTGATGACCTATACTGAGAGACTGGAAAGTTCCCTGTGACCAGTGAAATTGCAGTTCTAGCCTCTCTCTCTCTCTCTCTCTCTCTCTCTCTCTCTCTCTCTCTCTCTCTCTCTCTCTCTCTTTTTTTGCTGTTTTTCAGTCATGTCAGACTCTCCATGATGCCATTTGGGGTTTTCTTGGTAAAGATTGTAAAGAGTGGTTTGCCATTTCCTCCTCCAGGTCATTTTATAGATGAGGAAACTGAGGCAAACAGGATTAAATGACTTGCCCAGGGTCACACAGCAGTAAGTGTTTGAGGCCACATTTGAACTCAGGTCTTCCTGACTCCAGGCCTAGTGCTCTATCCTCTCTCTGTTGCAGTCTCCTCATCTGTGAAATGGAAATAATGATACCACCTACCTCACAGGGTTGTGATTATCAAGTGAGATTACACATGTGGAGCACTTTGTAAATCTTAAGGAACTATATAAAAGCTAGCTAGTCTTAGCTATTTGTATTATGTCACATCATCACATATTACATTTATTGCTTTATATTATATTGTATTATATCACATCATAAAATGTTATATAGTATAATGTAGATTAGTATAGTGGTGGTTGTTCTTTGTTTTTGAAGAGGACCAAAATGGCATCACTGTGCTAGAGTCTAGTTTCAGTGTGTCCGACTGTGGCTGATCAGAACAATACGAGCTCGGCATGTTCTACCACAGTTTGGGCACAGGTAGTCCATGTGAATGTTTGGGGTGGATTCTCTAAATTTGTGCATCCTGTGTTTCTTTTGAGCTATTTCAATTCTGCTTTGCTCATAGAGCATATATAGCATCTTCTCTGATGAGAGCACACCATGCTGGGCAGCCCTGTGCCAGTGTCCCCCATGTCAGATAATCAGTTCCAAAGTTCCTAAGAGAGACACCTTGAGAGTGTCATTGTAACACTTCTTCTGACCACCATGTGAACGCTTTCCCTATGTGAGTTCTCCACAATATGGTCTTTTTGGCAAGTGTGCGTTTTGCATTCAAACACCAAAGCCAGCCCATCAGAGTTGCGCTCTTTGATGTAGAGTTTGAATGCTTGGCAGTTTTGTTCAAGAAAGAACATCAGGGCAGCTAGGTGGCACAGTGGATAGAGCACCAGCCCTGGAGTCAGGAGGACCTGAGTTCAAATCCAGCCTCAGACACTTACTAACTAGCTGTGTGACCTTGGGCAAGTCACTTAACCCCCATTGCCCAAAACAACAACGAGAGAGACAGAGAGAGACAGAGAGAGAGAGAGAGACAGAGACAGAGAGAGAGAGAGACAGAGACAGAGAGAGATAGAGAGAGAGAAAGAAAGAAAGAAAGAAAGAAAGAAAGAAAGAAAGAAAGAAAGAAAGAAAGAAAGAAAGAAGGAAGGAAGGAAGGAAGGAAAGAGAGAGAGAAAGAAAGAAAGAGAACCTCAGTGGCTGGTATCTTCCAGGTAATCTTCAGAATCTTCCTAAGACAATTCAAATGGAAGAGGTTCAGTTTCCTGGCATGGCGCTGGAATACTGTATAGGCATACAACAATGAGGTTAGCACAACAGCTCTGTAGACCTTCAGTTTGGTAGTCAGTCTAATACCTCTTGTCTCCTACACTTTCCTTCAGAGCCTCCCAAACACTGAGCTAGCTCTGGCAATGTGTGCATCAACCTCATTATCAATGTGTACATCCCTGGAAAGTATACTGCCAAGGTAAGTGAACTTGGCCTAACAATCAACACCAAGAAAACACAGGTGCTCCATCAGCCACCACTTCATTATCCATACATGGAACCATTGGTTACAGCAAATGGTGAAATACTGAAACATATCCTTAACAAATCTTCTCAGACTTCCCTGTTACCGTATTCAAAGGAGAAAAGGGAGTGGTGCTTTCCACAGCGACGTGGAGTGGAGGGAAGAACTTCTTTCTGGGTGTTGCCTATACGGCCACAGGAGCGATGACATGGCTCGCTGCCTTTTCCCTGATGGCAGTCCACTTAAAACTGAAAAAGAAGAAGGCATCCTTCCAATGTTAAAACTGGCCAAGGTGAAAGAAAGATGGAAAGGAACAAGGCGGGGCATGTGTTCAGACCTTCTAACACCTGAGTCAAAACCATTGAAAAGGATTGCAGTGACTGAGTTGTTCTAACCAAAGTGCACAGGATTTAGTGCCCAAATTCTGTCCCACACACAGGGTGCCAAAGAGAAATAGAACTATATGAAATACATAATAATTATCTATATGCTTTCTAATTTGGGAATACAGATTAATCTTAAATAGCACACACCATAATTTCATTGAAAAAATATGAATAAGCAAGAATAAAAATGACTAAAATATGAATAAATCTTATTAATAAAGTACGTTTTAACACCTCTTTTTTTACTCAGTTCCACTGAGAAGTTCCTGTAGTAATGAGTTTGATTATTTATAAACCAAAACAATGGGTTATGGTCAAGTAGAATCAAACTTCTCCTGAGAGTTATGTTAAGTTGTGTGAGCTAGCCTCTTCTTTCGTATAGTTGAGGCCATTATGCCTAAAGGGAGCTCAGGTAGCCTTGGGGACCTATTAGGCCTTACTATTGTATTCTTTTTCAAAAAATTTTTTTATTTTTAAATTAATAAGCATTTGTTTTCTTTCCTTACCATGTCTTCAATTTAAAAGAAGGTTATTTAATAAAATAATTTCTGCATTGGCCATGTTCAAAGATGTGTGTCTTATTTTGTATGCTAAGTATATCATCTCCCTGTCAGGAAGTAGTAGTATAGATCTTCATCAATTCCTTGGAATTATGGTGGATCAAGATCTCTTGATCAAAGATCTTAAGTCTTTAAAAAGTGGTTGCTATTGTATAAATTGTCCTGGTTCTGTTCACTTCCCTCCGCATCAGTTCATGTGTCTTCCCATATAAAGTTGTTGCAGTTTTTTCCCCCAGTTAATCATTTAATTGCTAATCTTAGCTGCATTGGTTTTGTTTGTGCAAATATTTTTCAATTTTATGTAATCAAAACTATTTGTTTTATCTTCTGTGTTTTCTTCCTTGTTTGGTGATGAACTCTATTTTTACAGCTAAGTCATGTCTATTTAGAGTTATTTGGTCTGAGGTATTGGTTTAAATCTAATTTCTATCCGACTGCTTTCTAATTTTTACAGAAGGTTTTGTTGAATGGTTTTTTTCTCTTACCCCAGGAGTTGAGATCTTTGAATTTATCCAGTTAGTCAAAAAACATTTATTAAGTATCTATTATATAAGAGACACTGTGTTAAGCACTGGGGATACAGAAAGAGGGAAAAGATAGTCCTTGCCTTGACGGAGCTCACAATCTAATGGGGGAGACAGCCAGCAAACAAATATGTATAAACAAGCTATATGCAGGATAAATGGGAAATAATTAACAGAGGGAAGAAATTAGCAATAAGAGGTGGACTGCTAGATTTAATTGCTTCTGTGTGTTACATACCTAATCAATTCCACTGATTGACGTCTCTGCTTTTTTAACCACTACCAAATCATTTTGGTGATTGCTGCTCTGTAGAGTAGTTTAACATCCTGTACTCCTAGGACCCCTTATTTCCTCTTTTTTCATTATTTCCTTTGAGATTTTTGACCTTTTGTTCCTCCAGTTGAATTTTGTTATTTTTTTTTCCAGCTCTATAAAGAATCTTTTGGTAGTTTGATTGGTATAGCACTAAATAAGTAAATTAATGTAGGTAGTATTGTCATTTTCACTATGTTGGCTTGACTTTGTTGTTCAGTTGTTTCAGTGGTATTGGACTCTCTGTGACCCCATTTGGAGTTTTCTTGGCAAAGATACTGGAGTGGTTTGCCATTTCCTTCTCCAGATCATTTTTACAGATGAGGAACTAAGGCAAGCAGGATGAAGTGACTTGCCCAGGGTCACACAGCTAGTAAGTGTCTGAGGCCAGATTTGAACTCATGAAGATGAGTCTTCCTGACTCCAGGCCCCCACTCTATCCACTGCATCACCTACTTGCCCTACTCGTGAGCAATTAATGTTTCCAATTATGTATGTGTATCTTTATTTCCATAAAGACTTTTATGCTTTTATTCGTGTACTTCCTGTATGTGTCTTAGTAGGTAGACTACCAAGTATTTTATACATTCTATAATTATTTTAAATAGAATTTTCCTTCTACAGCTTCCTGCTTTTTTTTTTAGCAATATAGAGAAATACTGAATATTTATGTGGATTTCTTTTATATTCTCTAAATTTGCTGAATTAATGTTTTAATTAATTTTAGTTGACTGTCTAGGATTCTCAAAGTAAACCATCATATAATCTGCAAAAAGGAATAATTTTCTCTCTCCTTTGCCTGATCTTATTCCCTCTGTTTCTTTTTTATTCTCATTGCCATCAAAAGCATTTATAGCCCTATAACAAATAGAGGGGATGTTGGGTATCCTTGTTTTAACCCAGTCTTAATGGAAAGGCCTCCAGTTTATTCCTATTCCTTATAATGCTGGCTCCTGATTTTAGACAGATACTACAATTGTCCTTTCAACATCATGGGGGTTAGGGACATAGCACCCCCACAATCTGGAAAATCCACATAAAATTTTTGTCCCCTTCTTCCTATCAAAGGAGTACTTTGAATTTTTTTCTTTTTCTTTTATGGCATATTTATAGTACTTTATTGTAAAATTTGGGTTAAGCATTTGGTCATGGACTCTGTGCTGTTTGCTGGCCTTGGATGTTGTCTGCGGCTTCCACAAAACTACTCCAAAATTCCCATTTAATTTCTTATGCTGACTGGCAATATATCAAAACAGTGATGGGGAAAGCCATAATGTGGAAGAGATAACTGTACTTACTATGTTAAGGAAAAGTCCACTTATTTCTGTGTTTTCAAAAGAAACAGATGTTGCATTTTATCAAAAGCTTTTCCTGCATCCATTATTATAAGTATACTATTTTTGTTGTTCTTAGTATAAATATGGTTTATTATGTTTTTGACAGCTAAGTGGTCTAGTGGATAGAACACCAGTCCTGAAGTCAGGAAGACCTGAGTTCATATCTGGCCTCAGACACTTGCTAGCTGTGTGACCTTGGACAAATCATTTAACCTTGTTTACCTCGGTTTCCTGAGCTGGAGAAGGAAATGGCAAACCATTTCAATACCTTTGCCAAGAAAACCCTAAATAGGATCACAAAGAGTCAACACAACTGAAATGAGCAAACAACAAAATTGTGTTTCCAGTTTTCCTAATATTGAACCAACTCTGTATTCATGGTATAAATTCCACCTAGGAATAGTGTGTTTACGTATGTGTGTACACACACATACATATATACATACATATATGTGTATATATATGTGTGTGTGTGTGTGTGTGTGTGTGTGTGTGTGTGTGTGTGTATAGGTATGTATATACACATACCTATATACACATATAGCTACCTACTAGTATGGAGGCAGCTATATTCAGTGGATAGAGTGCTGGCCTGAAGACAGAAAGACTTGAGTTCAAATCCAGCCTTAGACACGCAGTAGCTGTGTGACCTTGGGCAAGTCACTTTATCTCTGTCTGCCTTAGTCCACTAGAGAAGGAAATGGCAAACCACTGAAGTATACGGGGTCATGAGGAGTCAGACACAACTGAGCAACAATAACCCATTTTTTAAAAATGGTTTAGGACACACTTCAGGTCCAGAGGGCTTTAAGTCTCTGGCTCACCCTCAGACCCCGACTATAATATCAATTCTACACTTTTTGTTTGAAGAGATCAGAACCTAGCAATGTGTTAAATGCATATTTGATGCTGAGATATCTGTTGAGTTTGATGTCCAGACAATTTTCCTAAAGCAGTTCTTGTGCAACCCTCCCCACACATTCTTTTGCCATGAAATTAACAAATATCTTCATGCGTCAAAAGGAAAAAACTTGGGTTTGAGGTAAGTGAAGTATCCTGAGCATGGACGTCCCAGCAGGGCACCCAGAGAAACAGATCAGATGCTGTTCCAAAAGCCATCCATATGACTTGGATGAAAATCAAGTCTATCAAAGACTCACGTCATCTTGGTTAGAAGGAACACAAAGGCTTTTAGACCACAGTGGGATAAAGTCTCTGGCACAAAAATGGACCACCAGTGACATTTTGGGGTCTTCTGCACAGAAGGAAAATTTCTTATCCCAAAAGTAGAAATGCCTATCTCAAAAATATTTGAAATCCTTTGGGGGGGGGGCTCTTGTCTTCTCATACTCCTTTTCTATCTTTGCAATTGCAGAGTGGATAATTGAGGCCCATTAACACAGGGTAATTATGGTAGAGAGCCTTCAGAGCCTAGTGGATAGAGTCAGACACTGTAAAATCCTGACTGACACAGCAATGTAACTCTCAGCAAATCTCATTGCTTCAGGAAACTCTTTTAGATGATAATTATGGATTCTTAGAATTTTGGAGTAGGAAGAGACCTGGGGACCCTCCATTCTAGTCTAACCTATAGCCAAAAGAGATCCCCACTCTAGCACACCTTACCACTGCAAAACTGTTCTCTGCTTGAAGCCTTCCAGCAGGGAAAGTGGAGGCTGGCTAAGGGGTTGAGAACCCACTACTTCCCAAGGTAGTCCATTCTACTTTTTGGTGGTTTTAATTTGTTACGAAGTGTTTTGGTTCTGTTTTGTTTTGTTTGTAGTAATTCATATTAGTTTTATTTGTCTGAAGCAGGATTTGAATTCAGATCTTCCTGACTTAAAAGTTTAACATTCTGTCCAGTTGAGATACCTAGCTACCTTGTTTCCCTGTTCTTCCTGTATCTCAGGTTAACTCTAACTTCCCAGGAAATTCCTGATCACAGACTGAGAAACAGCAAACTCTAGCCCCACTGCACCCTAAATCTAAGGCAGGAGTTCTTAACTTGTAGCTCATGGAACTACAAGGGATCCATAGGTGGATCTAAAGGGATCTATAAACTGGAGGGGGTTACATTTTATTTTTACTATTCTTTGTTTTCCTTTGTAATCTTATGTTTGATTTTATGCATTTTAAAACATTATTCAGAGAAAGGGTCCAT